ATGATTTCTAGAGCTCGAGAGCAGGGATTGATTTGGGGCACATTGGGAAGAGGGGACAAAATCAGGTACACACATTGGAGGGTCCTAGAAAGGGACCCAAGAGTTCGAGTCAGTTAAGAGGCCAGCAGGTCCGGATTTATTGCGGTACTTGCGGGAAACTACACGAGAGTTTTCATTTCAAAGGTTTTAATAAGTGTATCTTTGGGTTTGTTTCCCTGCTTTTGATTGGATTATACCCTCAAAAATTGCCATATTCCAATTGCATACCGTGAGTTACGGGGTGGTTAGTGAAAGGTTGTTTCACTATTTGCTGGGTTAGAGCGTCCAATGTTATCTAGGTCTATGGTCGAGATCAGTTCAGAGACGTGACACGGAAGGTCTACGGTCAAGATTGGTAACTCAGCCAGTGTGCTTGAGTCGACTTTTGGAGGTGCCAGTGGAAGTGGTCTACTACGGAGGCTTTGGTCTGGGCATCGGCTATTGGGACTTCAAGATATAGGTGGGGCACCATTTCAAGGCGTCTGAGATTATTAGTCTCGCTGGGATTCGGGAAGTGTTTTTCTGATCTTTAGGAGTTGCATGACCTTTTGGGGTTTGGTTCGTAATAGAAAACTCGCACAGATAAGAAACAGGTTGTCATCAGTGGGTTATTAAAAAGTAAGAAGGATCGGGAATCCTTCAAATCTCATGTATTGTGAAGACTTAGTCGAATCTAAGTGGGGAGAATCGCGCAGGTATTCAGGACAGGGACAGGTATGAGACCGGGATGGACTTCTCGTCCTTATCGAGGGAAAATGGCGGCCCAAGTGGCTATTTGGTTGAGGGCTGTGCGATTTTGGAGTTCGGTAAAACTCCCCAACGTGTGAACCGCGTCTTCTTGGGGGCTTGATAGAAAATTTTGGGAAAGCAGGTTGGGACTCCAGTCATGAATCGACTTCAGTTCGGGTGATCGGTCTAGTGTGTGATTGACTCCGCATGCGTTTTGAATCGATAGATTAGGGGTAAGGTATTGGGCTACGGTTGTGTTAGGATCAAAGTGTTGTAAGAATACGAGGGAGCCGTAGCATTCACTAATGGTCGGTTGGTATGGAAGTGTTGTAAGACTACGGGGGAGCCGTAGCATTCACTAATGGTTAGTCAGGATGAAAGTGTTGTAAGACTACGGGGGAGCCATAGCATTCACTAACGGTTAGTTGGTAAGGGAGTGTTGTAAGACTACGGGGGAGCCGTAGCATTCACTCATGGTCAGTAAGGTGAAGGTGTTGTAAGACTACGGGGGAGCCGTAGCATTCACTAGTAGTCAGATAGTGTGGAAAGTGTTGTAAGACTACGGGGGAGCCGTAACATTCACAAAGGCCAGATAGTGTAGGAGATACAGACAGACTGTAGGGTAGCTGTGACATTCACAAATTCGTTCGGATAACTTAGGCCAGTGTGGGTCATTTTGCAAGGTTGTGAGTAGGTCGCAACATAAGTGGAATCAGGAAATGGTAGGTCGAAGGGGATCGGGTATGATGTAAGACTACAGTTATTCTGGTAGCATTCACTTCTTTGCGTTGGATTCAGTGGCGATGGGTAGCCAACCTATCATGATCGGATGGATAAGAAGGATTGAAGGAGCCATGAGTGGCTGTATAGACAGTATAATTATTGTTGGACGAGGTGTCCTTCAGAGGCCGCGTGGGACTGCTGAGTGTGTTTTGGCTCAACAATCAGTTAGATGTCCGCTGTTTCGAGGGATTATCTGAGCTTCAGTCAGATATAAGTGTACTGCAGGGAAACTTGGTCTGTGACTCTATTTTCTAGTGGGAACCCCAGGTTATCAGAAGTTGTGTAGCCATTTGGGAGATAAGTGTAATGAATTCAACGATGATTCAGTGTGGGCGGTCTTTCAGGGAGACAGACCCTCTCGAGACTGTGAAATTCAGATAAAGTAGATGTGATCTTGTTGCAGGAAATTCGTTCATCTTCGGGTTCTAGGACCTTGCGAAGGCTGGTCACGGTTACCCTGGGAAGGCTAGGGTGTGCCCAAGATGGTGACCATGTCGCCCAGGTTGTCGGACGTGTAAGGAATGGTAAGGAATAATTTCGAGGACGAAATCTAATTTAAGTGGGGGAGAGTTGTAACATTCTGTTTATTTAATAAATAAACAGATAAAATTGATGAACGAATCGTCGCCCTAAATCTATATTATTTAGTGAATTGTTGGTTTTGGGGAGCCGAGTGTTATAAATTGGATTATTCGGGGGTTAAAGTGTAATTTCGGGACTTGTTTCGCAAAGGATTTTAGAAGTCAGGGGGGTGTTTGGTATTATTGGGACTTAATTTGAAAGAGATTTCAGAAGGCAGGGGCTAAATCGTAAAATTCGGACTTAATTTGCAAAGGGTTTTAGGAGGCAGTGTTAAAAGGATAAATTATGGATTGAATTTGAAAGAAAGAGGGAGGGGAGGGACCAAAGATGACATTATGGCAAAGAGCTTGATGGAGTCGGGTATTTAAAGGTTGCGAAACCCTAACCCTAGCGGCCTTTGATCAGCCGCCGCTACCTTATGGCTCCCGCTTTCTCCCAGCCGTCATCTCATCCCCACCACCGAAGGACCACCCGAGCAGCCACCTTATTCTGTTGCCGGTGAAGACGAAGAGGCACGAAGAGATCAGAAAACTCGTTTGTGGGTGCTGTTGTTGTTCGCGTTTGGGTTGCTGCCTCAACCCACGTTCGCCGCCGTCGCATTACTGTCGCCTCCGACTTATGATTGTCGTCGAGAGGGTGGTTGCGATTGCATTCTTTATTTTGTGTGAACCGCCGTCGTTTCCCTACGGTGGGCCTCATGTCTAGTTTTGGTGGTCGCCAGCGTTTTGAGGAGAGCTCAGTCGACAAAAAGGAATGCGTGTTTGGTTTCAGTCCATATGCATGATGGTGTGCTGACTGCAAGCTGTAGATACGGTGTTTGTTGGCCGGTGACCAAGAAGAACCACCATGGCGGCCAGCCATGGTGGCTGTCGTCGGTGATGTCGTCGCTGCCGTCGCCATGCGCCGCCAGGTGGGGTGGTTGGAGTTGTTTTGTGAACAGATAGGGTGTGTGTGCTTTGGTTTGGCCGGAAATCATGAAGAAAAGCTACCACCACCACCGTGAGGTGGTGGCTGCCGCCATGTGCCACCGCCGGCCACCATTAGGGTGGCTGTGTGTGTGTGTGTTTGTATTAGTGTGTGTGTGTTATTCGGGTTTTGCTTTGTAATATATATTGTAACCGTTGTGAAAATAATAAAAGAAACCCGTAACCACCACCGTGAGCCGCTGTCGACCACCACTACCCGAGGTGGTAGTGGGTGGCGCCCGCCCTATGAAACCCTAATGGGCCTTATGAGACCCCAATGGGCTTATTGAAGCCCTAATTGATCTAAGGACTTAGTTTTGGGCCTATTGGGCTATGCTTGGGTTGGAAACCCTAATTAGGGTTTAGAAAACCCTAATTTTGGGATTATTGGTTTGGACTTATCAGGACCCGCATTTTTTACCATTGGAGTGGAGTTATGACTCAAGCCCGATTTCATTGTATGTTTGGACTTAATAGAGTAAGTCCTTAATGGATTAAGTCCTTAATGGGTTAAGTAGGAACACTTAACCCTAATCGTCATTTTATGTGAAAAACCCTAATTGGGTTTGGATGTTTGTTGGGCAACTCATTGGACTAAACTGATGTGGGCCTTTGTGGGCCAATTGGGAACACATTTATGGACCAAGGGGAATTATTAGGCCATCAGAATGTCAATTGTTGGGTCTAGAATAATTGGTTGGGCCTTAAAATAAGTCCATGTAGAGGGTTTGGGCCCAATTTGGAAAATTGGGCCATATGTTGGGCCTTGGTTGACTATTAGGCTTTTGGGCCTTCAGGGTGTGAGTTTGGGCCTTGGTTTTGAACCAAGCTAGGTTTGGGGTAAAATGGTCCATTTACCCCAAGTGTAGATTATGGTTGTGTATTGGAACCCAATTATTAAGTGGGTGTCATTTTGATGTTGACAGTTCGGGAAGCTGTCAACCAGTAGCTAGAGTTTTATCCGCGGGACTTCAGCAGTGCGAGGTGAGTCTTCTCACCATACCCATGGGTCTAAGGCACCAAGGCCGACCCATTATGTTACTATGGTATATGTGTTAGTCATTTCTGTGATTTGATATGCTATGTGATTGTGTGTTATTGCATGGAAGACCCCGGGGGGAGCCCGTGGCATTGGATGTAAGACCATGTGGGGTAGCCCATGGCATTCCTAGGTAAAGACCACGTGGAGTAGCCCATGACATTGGATGTAAGACCATGTGGGGTAGCCCATGGCATTCCTAGGTTAAGACCATGTGGGGTAACCCATGACACAATGGTGTAAGACCCTGGGGGGAGCCCACGACATCCTTACAGGTTTACGTTTGTATTATGTGTAGATATTTCTGTGATATATGATATGTTATGTGATTATGTATGTTATTGGATGGAAGACCCCGGGGGGAGCCCGTGACAATTGGATGTAAGACCATGTGGTGTAGCCCATGACATTCCTAGGTTAAGACCATGTGGGGTAACCCATTGCACAATGGTGTAAGACCTGGGGGGAGCCCACGACATCCTTACAGGTTTTTGTATGCATGGCTTATGTGTTATAAATAGCTTCTATATTTAACAGGATATGTGATATGTGGATTGTGTGTGTGGTATGCTCTAGGAAACTCACTAAGCTTCGTGCTTACAGGTTTTGTTTATGGTTTCAGGTATCATCGTTTTGGAAAGGAAGGGCTCGGATTGATCGCAGTGCACACACCTATGTATTCTGCAACGAATGATTTTGGGATGAACTCTGATAAATGTTTTACTTAATGATGATTTGAAATGTTTGGGATAAATGGTATCAATGTTTTAGCTATACTAAAAATGAAATTTTTATCCTTGATTTTTGGGTCGTTACAGTATGTCATTTGTAAATTCTCAAATAAGGAAGTGAGAACAGTTAGAATGTTCTCTGATGTTTTTGAGAACCTTTTGACAGAAGTTTGGGAGACTCTTGACTGGAAAAAAATTGTTACCGGAGTCAGTGGCCGGAAATGAAGAAGAAGAAGGAAGTGGGAACATGAGTGAATTTTTTTGCTTTTTTTTTTTGCAAGTGATGTGATGAAGATGACAATGAGGAAGTGGGTTTTTTCAGTGTGTTTTGGTGTGTGGTTGATGCCCACCAAGTGTTTGATCTTTTGTCTGAATGATCTTTTGATGTTGCATGTAGTTTTTAGTTGTGTTCATTGATTTTCAGTAATTTTGCTTCACAAATGTTTGTTTCAATTTGGCATTTAAATTTCTTGAAGTAATCTTAAATTCCCTAAATCAAAACTGGGTGGTGATGTCGTGAGAATGCCTTCCAGGAGAGAGAGAGAGAGAGAGAGAGAGAGAGAGAGAGAGAGAGAGAGAGAGAGAGAGAGAGAGAGAGAGAGAGAGAGAGAGAGAGAGAGAGAGACCCAAATTAATTAATTAATTATTTTTTTATTTAAATTAAATAGAAAAAACATAAAAATATATCAGAAGGGCATTACAGTCATTTCAATTTTACAAGGGACCAAATTTACATACAAACATGACGAAAAAGACCACGAAACCAAAAAAATCAGGGTTTGAACTAAAATCCCAAAAAAATATATACCACAGAGACCATTTTTGTCTTAACATTATAATATAGTTTATGAATTTTAGCCTACTCAAAATACTTTTACTTGCAGTTTTGTCTTTTAACATTATGAATTTTAACCTACTCAAAATACTTTTCCAACCGCCATAGTAGGAGTAGTCGAGAAGAAAGAAACATCCACATTGTTACCCTACCGCATTAGGTCATCATCGACGTCTTTTCCTTAAAAGGCGGTTATCTTTTCCTTATAAATTGAGATTCACTTCCTCCCCAAATCCACAACATAATCAAATTCCCAAGCAATTCAAGTTTCTCTCATTCCTAACGCGTCTCATTCGATCTTATTCCACTAGAAAGGTAAACTACAATTTCCTTATAAATTAATATTTAGCGATCGTTATCAATTTTGCGAATTGTATATGTTATAGGATTTTGATTCGCTTTGTTTGTGAATTTAGATGCAGATTTTTGTGAAAACCCTAACCGGGAAGACGATAACTCTCGAAGTCGAGAGTTCTGATACGATCGACAATGTTAAAACGAAGATACAGGACAAGGAAGGAATCCCTCCAGATCAACAACGTCTTATCTTCGCCGGTAAACAGCTCGAAGACGGCCGTACTCTCGCCGATTACAATATACAGAAGGAATCGACGCTCCATCTCGTTCTTCGTCTTCGTGGAGGCATGCAAATCTTCGTCAAAACCCTAACCGGAAAGACGATCACGTTGGAGGTTGAGAGCTCCGACACCATCGACAACGTGAAGACGAAGATTCAAGACAAGGAAGGAATCCCTCCCGATCAGCAACGTCTCATCTTCGCCGGTAAACAGCTTGAGGACGGCCGTACCCTCGCCGATTACAACATCCAAAAGGAGTCTACGCTTCATCTCGTCCTCCGTCTTCGTGGAGGTATGCAGATCTTCGTTAAGACCCTTACAGGGAAGACAATCACCTTGGAGGTTGAGAGCTCCGACACCATTGATAACGTTAAAACCAAAATTCAAGATAAGGAGGGGATTCCACCTGATCAACAGAGGTTGATCTTCGCAGGGAAGCAATTGGAAGATGGGCGTACGTTAGCTGATTATAACATCCAGAAGGAGTCCACTTTGCACCTTGTTCTTCGTCTTCGTGGTGGTGATCTCCGTAAGTTGAACTAGATAGCTCTGTTGGTGTTATTTTGATGATTTTAGTGGGATACTATAATAAAAGTATGAATTTGTGTTAGAACGATTTTACCCTGTTTTCGTTGCTTGATTTGTTTGTTGTTTGAAATAGATGATATTATCTTTTCTAACAATTCCAAAAATATTTGTGTGTTAATGAGAAAGTATTTGCCATTGATTTTATTTTTACATGTTTTTTTCAACTGTACGTCATTATATTTTTAATTCATATTATTTTGTTATTAAACAAAAAATTCTTGCATTATACCCCAAACTAGGTTTTTATGAAACCTAAAATCTTATTCGGTATAACTATTAAATTGTATATACGAAATTATGACTATTTATTTATTGGGCAGAATATTTGTAATTACATTACTTTTCCCCTTTCATATTCTTGCGTATGTAATACTTTTCAAAAGAAAACATAGCTTGATGATAAGTAATTTGGTCATGAAAACAGTCTTGAGTTTTCCATTTTAATTTAACTTTTTCCCTAAAAAAAACTAAATTTAACTATTGCTTTACAATTTAAAAGTTTTCTATTGTTGTTTGTTTTGACCACATGGGTTGACTTTAAACAGGTCCAGTCAAAACAATTAGTAGTTGAGGCAACTTTAAGAGCAACTACACAGTATTAGAAATTGCGTAGGAAAAAAGATTCACAAAAAAAAAAAAAAAAAAAAAATTCTGTTGAAAAAACACATATGAGAGATAATATAATGGTCAGGAAGGAAGCAGGTGTCTTTGGAAGTACGTACGTTGTCATTTCAAACTAAATTTGAAAATGATTTTTATTGAGTGTTTCGTTTTTACATTATACAGTTTTAATTGTGGTTGACGCAAGTGGAAGTATGGCATTAAATCGAATGCGAAATGCAAAAGGTGCAACACTTAAACTATAATTAGCAAAGACCTTCTTATAGTTTATTAACTATTAACTATGTTAGGGTCAGGCATTCATATTATCATAGTTTATTAACTATATATGCCTTTTAACAATATTTGTGGGTCGTATATATTTCTCAGAATGCTTTCTTGATATTATAACAATTAACATCACAGTGTCATTAAATATTTGGGTGTTTTTACAAATACTGAACTCCTTAAAAATACACTTACAGTACCAACCCTAATTTTTGAAAGTCAAGACTACTAAATCAAAAAGATAATGACAATATATTATGTGAAAATGCCTTTTATGATCTTGACTCTGATGATTTTAAATTACTCTCATTTTTAGTCTTAATTATTTTTCTTTGTTTCCATATCATTTATCTGCTTCTAACATTTTTTCCGAGCTACATTGCTGCCATGTGTATTGATAAGATGCCAAAGATTTATCGCCTTACAAATTAAGACTTGTACCTGGAATTTTGATACGGGGTTACAAACATTACAAAGATTCAAAATAGTAAATGCAAAGAGTTTCTTAATATTTAAAAATATAATTTAAGCAAAAGTTACAATTGAATCCGTCTAGGCTTCAGGTTTTGAAATCGATCAATGATATTGTCATCAAGAAATTGTAGAAACACATCATTCTATATAAAAGTGACCGAACAATCGTTTAAAACTTAATTATCCATGTTATTTTGCAAATTCTTCTCTCTACACATGCTATAGGAACGACAAAAGATATATTTATGTAGTTACCAAATCTCATGCATTAAAATAACATAAAATAACATACAACATGTTAACAAATAATTTATTTTTTTATATATAAAACAAGTTTTTGGGGGATGTTGTGGTACCCTCAATGCCATATGTAGCTCCACCACTAGGAACACCACTAGATGCCTTGCGTCACATATTTGGTTAACTCACTTGACATGTACAAGTTCGTTTAGCTCATGGAACTCAATTTAACTTGCAAAAATATATCAAAAGGTCCCTTGAGTACCCACTTAAAGTAACAATCCAAATTTATTCAAGACTTGATTCACTAGACTATGACATTGTAGAAAAAAAATAGCAAAGGCCCACATCAGAATATGAGCATTGATCAAAGCATGAAGTTTGTTTGTCTATTTTCATGTATTTATTCACGTAGCTCAGCTTTGCATGTTGTGATTAGAAGAGTGTTTGGAAAATTTAGTATAAATATTTATATTTTTACTAACTTTGGACATATATAAATATATACATATGTTTGTGTTCTCCTCCACGAGGACTTGGAAACGATATATTATATGTCCAAAATGGAGTATATGTGAATGAGATATCGATACTTAAAGAAATGTATTTGAGAATAAATTTAGCAAAAAGAGATGGATGTGGGAATGAGTCCCACATTGGTAGAAAGACCAAACTCAACAGTTTTATAAGCTTGAATGCTTGAAAGGCTTACAAGCTTGTGTTTATGGTTTTACTACAATTCCTACCCGTGCGCAGGGGTTGATTTCGTAGACCAAAAACACTAAACTTATAAGAGTTTGCAACCTGCATTTAGTGTTTGGTGTGATCCATATCAACACAAATTAAATCGAAAAAACACTGAACTTATAAGAGTTTGCAACCTGCATTTAGTTTTCCGAAAGTAAACACTCGCTAGGGTTTTTCCAACAGGCTCTGAAACAATTTGGGCTAAAGCTGATGGCCCATTAATCAGTAAAGTCCCCGCTTAAATTGGGCCATATCCATGACTAAAGGTGCTCCTACTCTAAGAGCCCCAAGAACAACACTGCTTAAATTGGGCCATATCCATGACTAAAGGTGCTCCTACTCCAAGAGCCCCAAGAACAACACTGCAAAGGGTAATATCGTTAATTTTGTGTTATATAAAATTAATATTATGAAATGTAACAAACTTACCTTGACGCAACACCACTTTGATTAAGCTTTGCCATAAGCATCACCCTTCATACCGTGCACATTTAAAGCCTGTAAACTAACCAATACAAAATCTAAATGAGACTAAATGACCATTTTACCCTTACATAATAACATTTTAAAAAAACACATTTCATAATTTATTTATTTTTTTTTATCAATTTTAACATCAGAGCTGGGAGGAAAAAACCCCTGGCCAATTTTCCACCGTCTATCTCTCCAATTGAATCTTTTATTGGATTATATCATTATTATAGTCATAATAGTTTGTATAACTATATATTTGACGCTGATTATTTTCTTAAGCATAAACCCATAACCAAAGATACATCAACAGTTTGCTACTTTTATTTTTTCTAATAAAAAATAAAATTTTTACCAAGAACATTACTACTAATCCATGAACCCAACTTATGCCTACACTATAAAAATAGGGTGAAAGAAATTTGTTTCATAATCGGAAGGATTAACAAGATCATAAACTAGCAAAGCAAGATAAACATCAACTATCTTATAAACAACATCAGAATTTGAATTAAAAAAACAGGCAATTGAAAAAAAAAAATTAACAGAAACTTTGGAATGATGAAATATCTCAAACATGGATTTGAAGAAATCTCCCATAATTCAATTCCGTTGACACACCACGGAATGGAATTTGAGATTACAATTCCTTCGCATTCCGTAAACCAAACACACCATGGATGTTGTCTGAATAGCAGTTGATGGGATAATAAAAAGATGAATGAAACACAAAAACAATCATAGGACTTTTCAAATGCATTTGCTTTTTTTTTTTTTTTTTTTCTGAAAAACACCATAATACCTTATGAAACTGACTTTAGTTTTGACAAAAAGTGTTGAATATAACGAAAAAAATACTCATTCTTGGAAAAATATGTGAGTTAGGGATTTTTGTTAAACAATGCCTAATTTTACAAAAGAATGTGCATAGCAAGTCTTTATAAATTCATTATCTCATATCAATTTTGATAATATTCACTCTGAACATGGAGAGTTGCATGGTATGCAAAAACCCACAAACGTTTTATTGATATTAAATACACCATCAGAAATGACATGACAGCTGGCATACACGAAATTAAGTGACTGGTGTAATAGTAACTTCGTTGAACATATGTTCAAGCACATGGCTTGATACACATACAAAAACGAAAGTTGTCATCACATTTTCCGCTAGCAGAACCTTTCTTTTTGCAGGCATTATTACATTGCGAATTAGAAAAACAAGCTTCTCCATAGTCTTTCGTTGAGCAATCCTTTGCTTCTATGGAAGTCATAAAAGTTTCATCTGCAACAAAACAATCCGTCATATTTATTTATTCTCTCGAAATTATAATTAAAAATAAAACTTAAAGAATCGACATGTATAAGAAAAATCTTCCTATCTGAACATGTAACAAAAATAATATAAAAGCACTAACACTACGTAAGCAAAAAACGTAAATCAGGAATAAAGTAAAAATGCCTGTAGTAAAGAGAGCAAAGAGCAGCATGAACACAAATAAGGTTTTTCCCATTTTCATATCTAATCACAAGAAACAGTAGGTGGAACTTGTTGTCTCCTATATATATATATATATATATATATATATATATATATATATATATATATATATATATATATATATATATATATATATATATATATATATATATATATATATATATATATATATAAAGAAACCACACATCATCCTTATATAGGAGACAACAAGTTCCACCTATGGATCAATAACTATTGGCATGTTTTCAAATTAGGTGTTTGAAAAATTGATCGACAAAAAAAAAAAATCCAATCTAGCATCACATAACCTTTATTCAAAGTTCTAACAAATTTAATAAAATCACATAAAACTGACTTCACATCTTAGAATCATAATTAATTCTTTACGAACACATATTACATTATCACAAATCAAATTTAAGAACATAATTTTACAAACAATCATATATATATATATATATATATATATATATATATATATATATATATATATATATATATATATATATATGATTGTTTGTAAAATTATGTTCTTAAATTTGATTTGTGATAATGTAATATGTGTTCGTAAAGAATTAATTATGATTATATATATATATATATATATATATATATATATATATATATATATATATAACATTACAAAATGTTAAGTAATAAAAATTAGGGCTTTTAAAATTACCAAACAAAAGTTAGGTTAAAACCTAACTGTGTTGGACAAATAACCAATTAATTACAATTTTTTAATCAAATACAATACGTATCACATTC